TTAGGGCTTTGGGTTTTAGGGCTTAGGGTTTAGGGTTTAGGGTCGTTCAATATCTGAGTGAAAGAAGCAGAGGAGACCGAGCTGATGCTAATGGCGAGACAGGATGACATGTCAAGGAAGGTGACGGAGGAGGAGGACGGGAGACAAGAAGCCGAGAATGCGGCAGGGAAGTGTATGCTCCTAAATCGATGGAGGGGGGTTTAGGGTTTAGGGGTAAGATGCAGACATTGGCATGCTGTTCTGCCGAGTTTACACGCAGGGGTTGCTGTTGCTGGCAGCCGTTGCTGAAAGGGCTTTCTAGTTCCAGTCCTTAACCGCGAAGGCCAAGACCCCTAAAACTTTAAACCCTAAATCCCACACCCTAAACCCTAAATCCCAAACCCTAAATCCCAAACCCTAAATCCCAAACCCTAAATCCTAAACCCTAAAGCCTAAAAACCCTAAATCCCTAAATGTCCAAAGCCGGCAACCAGAACTAAACCAAGCAGCCTCCGACCCGAGCTGCTAAGTGTCGAGCCTTCTTGGGGGCTTTACTTAAGGGTTTAGAGTTGAGGGTTTAGGGTTTAGGGTTTGCGGGCCTTCTTTGGGGGTTTACTTAGGGGTTTAGAGTTCAGGGTTTAGGGTTTAAATAGGGTTTTCTGAGAGGCCCCACCAAAAGGAGCGGCCTGAACAGTTTGTATAGGGTTCCTTTTACGGGTCCTTTCAGAGAGCTTCTATGAGAATTCCTACAATTAAGGGCTAAGGGTTTAGGGTTTGGGGTTTTAGGGTTTCGGGTTCAGGGTTTAGGGTTTAGGGGTTACTTTGAGAGGTGGTATGAGAGTAGTTTGGCATGGGGGCCCTTGGCTGTTAGATTAGGAGGGTTGTGGGGTGTATATCATAATCGAACTATGTATGCACTGGGGATTGTTACTACCGCTGCTTCAAACCCTCGGTTTCGGTTATAAAGACCCTTAGCAGTACCAACAATCGCCTGCCGAGGCTGCACCTTAGTACCTCGGAAGCTTAGGGTTTAGGGTTTAGTGATCGTTGAGTCTATAGCTCGGTTGAACTCCAATGTGCTATGTAACGTCCACTCCAAGTGGCAGCAATACGACTATGATTCCGTGCTTTTTTGTGAACTTTCTATCTATGACGTAAACCCTAAGCCCTAAGCCGAAAGCCCGTAGACCCTTAACCCTCAGGGTCCCTTCTGGAACCATGTCGGCCTTCAGCCGTTCGCATCCTTTTTGCTTTGGACGCTCGGAGCTCTACTTTCGGATGGCCTAGCAACCAAAAAAGTTCCCCTGAACCCTAAACACCAAACCCT